ATTTGGGCCCCCGTGTAGCGAGATTTTAGTTTTCGTCTCAAAATGCTTCACTCAATTGAGCGTTTTCTCTATTCAGAATAAAACTCTTTATCAAATTAGGTTTAATTAACTCAACAGATTGCAGCTAAAAATTTTCCTTCATAACTGCGACGTCCTTAATCTGCTGTTAAGCTTGGATAGTTTTATTTGAGCCTCCGTGTAGCGAGATTTTAGTTTGCGTCTCAAAATGCTTCACTTAATTGGGCGTTTTCTCCATTTAGAATAAAACTCTTTATCAAACTAGGTTTAATTAACTCACCAGATTGCAGCTGAACATTTTCCTTCATAACTGCGACGTCCTTAATCTGCTGTTAAGCTTGGAGAGTTTTATTTGGGCCCCCGTGTAGCGAGATTTCAGTTTTCGGCAACAAACTCTTGACGGAATTGGAATATTTTTTCCAACTTGCAACATTTTTGCGTGTTGGAACGCATAAAACTATTGAAGGAAGTTTGTTTCCGCCTCTTCAGTGCTTAGAATTTTTCAGAAATTAAGACCGTTTGGAAGCTCTGGCCCAATGGAAAAATGGTCCGAACTATTCCTGTTCCGATCCTAAAATCTCTCCTCCTACTACCGTTTTAGACGATTGTTCATTTGAAACACCAATATGGAAATATCTTGTTTGCCGAATCGAAGCAACCTGCACAATTCCCAAAGGCAAAATTGAGCTTTTCCCGAGAAAACGAAATTTCTTGAAGCAATTAGGCCTTAATGCGCTGATAAACTCGCCGTTGAAGTTGAGCGAGAGCACGTTATCTTATCAAGGGGTTTGAGAAGTTGGGAGTTAAAGTGAGCCGTCGATCCGGGTGTCAACTACTTGCACTATCTTATCGCCCGGCTCATTATCCGGGACATGTGGAGGCCTCGAGCTGCAGCTTTCACCCCAATTTCACCCCCGAAATAGACGCAGGCGACTGTTGCGTGAAAACGCACTCAACGCCGGCCATCGAGTCTTCAAAACTCCGCCTCGGATGGTCTTCTTCTCACCGGCCAGACGGCCAACGACCATTCTCGATTAAGAGCATCAATTAAGTTGATTGCCCATGTTCGAGCCGTTCCCCTGGACATACACCGTGTACCAAGCCGGACCTCTACTTGTGTAAAAACACTGTGTAAAAAGTTCAGAATTTTCCAATTGCAATTTTTCTACAAAATGTTTACTGGCCAAGACGCCATTTAATAATGTTTAAAACATTCGCATTTGTTTTCCATACATTTCGAAAAAGCCATTTTTTTGCCGTACATTTCAGGGGGCATCTGCAGGATTTTTCAAGGGATCCAAGGTTCTTATGATGCGAATAAATGTACTCTTGACAAATTGACCAGTGGTAACTTTTTCCCATCTTTTGGACCAATAGTTTTCTGGAATTCGGCTAGAAACGCTGTCTCCAAAAAAGTTGAATATATCCGAAACTATAAGTGATAACGCAATTCTGGGCAAAATACAGTAAAAAGTTAGAATTAACTTTTCCTCTAAAATCACCAAAAGGCGAGTTACTGGAGGTTTTTTGAGGCGCAATTGCGTGAAAACCATGCGGAGAAGGTTTGGGAGTTTTGTGGAACTTTAAAGATTCAGTTCTCTCCAGGGTCCTGGATAAATATAAAAAAAATTCAGTAGACCCCCCTAAGAAGCGCCGCTAAAATCGGTTTTTGTTAAATAAATTTTAAACTCCTTGTCCTAAATTGATATATTTTGCTGTTCGAGCTCGCCAGGAACCGACCAGCTTATACACCTGAATGCTCATATTTTGGACACCGTGTATCAGAATGGCACCAGGAAAACCTTTTTGGATAGCCCGAAGCTTAATCCAAAAAAACGTTCTCTTGCTTCACATCAATAAAATGAACAGTTTTCCAGAAAAAAACTGTTCTATTTTAATACATTTTTAATTAAATTGAACCTGTTTGTTGAACCCTCCACAACATCCCAACAGTGTTTCTTATGCGATCGCAATAAAATGACATTTCTTCCCTAGTTTCAACAAGAGTGGCATAAACCAAACTTTTCAGGTTTGAGGACTGTTGAGATGAAAATCTAGTGGATGTAAGTCGGGGGAACGGGGCGGCCAAGCCACAGGTCCTCCTCATTTGAAAGAAACATTGTTTAGATGAATCTAATGGAATTAATTTTCTAAATTATTAACCAAAAAAGTGAATTACACAGGTTCCTATCAAAAAACTTCCAAACCCAGACATTAATTGAAGAAAATCGGTGTTGATATAGTGAAAAAAATCATCAAATGAAACAGGGCCGGATCCAGCTTTAAATCCAGGGGGGGGGTGGGTTAAGGAAAAAAAAATACAGTCTTCTGTTATCTATGAAATTAGAAAAATTATCGTCGTTTTGTGCAAGGGTGGCGTAAGATTATTGCAAAATTTCATGTTTTCC